CACCTATGTTATAATGGAGACTGCCTGAAATATACAGATCTGTGAAGAATTATTTTGCCAATTCTTTCATCCATCTCTTCCAGTACAGAAACACGTATAGTTATTGAGTTGTTCTTTAACTTCTATGAGACTATTTGTTTCACATTATTTTGTTAGATGTTTCCATAAATGCAGTTATTGAAGTAATAAGTTCCTTTTCAATTTGCAGCTAATATATAAATAATAAAACTAATTTTCATGTTGATATTGTATGTCATTTTATTTACATTAACTCACAGCTAAAGATACTTTAGGTTCTTCTGTTTACATAATATGAACCTCATTTGTGAAAAGACTTTTTTATTTTTAAATGTTTAGGCCTTCCATATTTCTTGGCTTTTACACTAAAGATATACTGTAAAACACTGAACTTTTGAGTTATGAATAAATACTGAATTTTGTTCAATTATTTTTTTAAAGATTTATTTTTATTATTTTTTAATTGGAAAGGCGGCTATACAGAGAGGAGAGAGAGAGGAAGATCTTCCGTCCAATGATTCACTCCCCAAGTGAGCACAACGGGCCAATACTATGCCGATCCGAAGCCAGGAGCCTCTTCCGGGTCTCCTACGCGGGTGCAGGGTCCCAAAGCTTTGGGCCGTCCTCGACTGCCTTCCCGGGCCACGGGCAGGGAGCTGGAAGGGAAGCAGGGCTGCCGGGATTAGAACCGGTGCCCATATGGGATCCCGGGCGTGCAAGGCGAGGACCTTTAACCACTTGCGCCACTGCGCCGGGCCCTTTGTCCAATTATTTTTTGCGTTTTTTTTTAAAGCATATTCAAAAAACCTCCCCAGAAAAAGGACTCACTGGAACAAGTATAGGAAATAGCTTTTAAAGATTTATTTACACAGAGAGAGGGAGAGACACACGAGAGAGATCTTCCACCCTCTTCTGGTTTGCTTCCCAGATGATTGCAATGGCTGGGGTGGGCCAGGCTGAAGCCAGGAGCCAGGAGCTTCTTGCAGGCTTTCCATGTGGTAGCAGGGATCCAAGTGCTTGGGACATCCTCCACTGTTTTCTCAGGTGCATTAGCAGGGAGCTGGGTCTGAAGTGGAGCACTTGGGATACAAAGTGGTTCCCCCATGGGATGGCAGTGGGGCAGCCAGCGGCCGTATTTGCTACACTTCAATGCTGGCCTCAGGAAATAGTTTTTGTTTATTTGTCTTCTAGTTGCACCATCCAACAACACCATAGCACCAAATGGCTTTGGACAAGACCATTGTCTGCTGGCATGTATGAGAGAGTGGCTCTGATGAAAAAGTTCCTACTCTAAAACTCCTGTTCTTTCACCAACGCAAGTGTGCCTTCAGATTAAATATAAGAATTCTCACGACAAAATTTTTAGATTTCTTTTTATTTTTATGGATAAAATACAACATACATATTCTACTTAAACAATGAAAAAAGATGGAACAAACAGCATCAACATTAATCTCTGAAACGGGAAAAAACATAGAATATTGGCATTTTCCCGGGACATATGAGACTTTTCAATCAAATCAGCATTTTAGAAAAAGAGCTGGAAAAGTTTTGATTCTGCGCATTTGTGTAAGGCTGCTGAAAATTCTTGTAGGAAACATTTTAATGCCAGGTCATATTATTTTTACTAAGCGACATATTTAAGGAAAAGTTGAAAAATGCCTGTCAGAGAAACTTCTTCATTCCAATAATACATGGTCTTTTCAGGCAAGGAATAGCTACGTGAAAAAAGGAGGTGAATATACTTGCTAGAATGAGACATTTTAATCTCACGGCACGTTTCAGAGGTGTGAAATACGTGGGGAGCAATTGAAAACACCACAAACAAAAGCTGAATATTCATTGGCACTTCCCAAAACCTGCACCTGCACAGTCAGAAACATGAGAGACTGGAGGAGGGACACGGATTCAGAGCATCCCACAGATCACAGTTTTGGTTTTAAAGCTTTTGTTAAAAATATGTCACACCATTAAAGGTTTATTATGAAACGAACATGGAAAACTAGCTGCAAGGACTTAAATAATTCTCAGGAACAGATTGTAACAAAAGTTGTTAAAGTTCATTACTTTCCTCAAGAAAGGCAAGTGAGGTAGTTTATCCTGTATATACACTGTAAAGAATTGTTGTAAAGAATTGATATTCCAGTCTGTTATCAGAGATCTTTGACTCCAAAAATCATATCCCCAAGCAAGCTATCGGTAAAGGGATCCTCTTTTGCAGAATGAAGGGTAACATGAGCCGGCCCTAGGACTTTTTCTAAGTGTTCCTCAAATACCGACTTCCTCTAATATCTCCCCAGGGGATACAATTTTTCTAAGTGAATACCAATAGCACTTGGCTTGGATGAGGGTAAGACAGTTCTAAGACGGGCATTGAGTTTTTGTATTTCAGCAGTTTTCAGTGTGTGACAATGGGCGGCATGTGAGTTTAAAATATGAATTTACACAGCCTGGGAAAAAAATTCTTTTGAACAACATATTTGAGGATTTTTTTTTTTTTTTTTTTTACTGTATGTAGTTGCCAAATCTCAAGACAAGGTAGCAGTGACAAATGTCCATACAAGGAATTCTTGAAATACCTGCCTTAGTACGTCTAAACATATAATGAAAAAAAAAGACGAACTCTCCACACAGTTTTGCCCGGTATCTCATCTTTGCACATTTTCACAGACAGGTTACTTAACCTTTTAAAAAAATCAACTCTTAATAAGGCAACAGTTCTTTCAATAATAAGATGAAGGGCACTTCTGAATTTTAACCACATTATTAGTTTTTTGACTGAAATTCATTTCCAGCCAATTAGCGGATCCTTTGACTGCAGATAGAAGTTCTGTCCAATGATCTGCACAGGGCTCTTAACAGTGCAGAGTTTTCGAAACCTGTCACAGTCCTTGAATAAAATGAAGTGAATAATTTAAAACTACCGACTCAGCTAAGTCTTCACCATCTAAAACCACACACACACACACACACACACACGCACGCACACAAATGGTTGAGAAATTCAGAGACTTACTACATCAATCACCATTTATTTAAAACTGATGACAAGTTGGAATAAACCTTAAAACTTTTAGAATTATGTAGATAATGTGTTTCTTATCAAAAGAAAACTCCGAAATAGAAGAGTAAATGAACAGACCTGTGAATTTTGTGTAAAACACAGAAATGAACTATTCCAATGAGATCTAATACAATGAAAGAAGTTCATCTTTTTTCTCATTACCACGTTGAGACGTACTAAGGCAGGTATTTCAAGAATTCCTTGTATGGACATTTGTCACTGCTACTTTGTCTTGAGATTTGGCAACTACATACAGTAAAAAAAATTCCTCAAATATGTTGTTGAAAAGAATTTTTTTTCCAGGCTGTGTAAATTCATATTTTAAACTCACATGCCACCCATTGCCACACACTGAAAACTGCTGAAATACAAAAACCAACAAACATATGGAATATATATTTGCTTTCAACTGGGTTTTCAGATAAAGGAAATAAACTATTCCCAAATATATTCAATGAGCAGATCTTCATGTTTTCTTAAATTCTAAATATGAACAATGCAATTATCTGCATGTTGACTATAAACCATGTTTTATATAGACTACCAAAGCATAACATGGCATATGAAATATTTCTTCTATAGATGGACTTAAATATTGTCATGCATTCTGAGAATGGTGAGTAGCCTAGACCATATTTTCTGTATTTTTGAGGATCTCTATTGATTTGAAGTGCAGGGTCGTCATCAGGGTCTTCCATCCCTTTAACACTGATGTCTCTGCTTGCCGATTGGAAGCCACAGTCCATGTCTGAGGCAGATGAGGTCTCTGCGTACACTGGCTCACGCTGGAAGGACTGCAGGAAAGGCAGAGCTGCCCAAGCTCTCCACACAGTTTTGCTCTGGCCTAAATTGGAAACTTGGGAAATGTATTTTCTGGCCATTTATAGGCCTAGAAAATGACTCCACAGGATCTCGACACATAATTTCCAGGTCCCGAACATGAACCTGACTTTAAAACCTAATGCTCATGTTTTTAAATTGGGGCTTCAAGAGTGACTATCCACAGTTGTAAAATATAAAGAGTGGTAAGTTTGATCAGAAAAGCAAACTGCACAAGGCAAGAGATATTCATGGAGCACCATAATCATGAAAAGAGGTCATGTTACAGCTGACCATGGAAGCAGGGTTATGAGATACTCTTTGTCAGTCTTTTACATTGTGGGGACGGACCTGTGCTGGCAAAAGAATAAGGTTCAAAACTATTGGCTTCAACAGACAACGGTACAGAAGTGTTCACTTGCATCAGAACACTGAAGTCTTCACACACTGTGACGTATGTAACAATGTGGCTTCTTAAAAACGCAAGTTCTTCCTCCAATGGAGGAGCAAGTCAGAGCATAAATATTGTAAGTTTCATGCTAGAAATGAATTAATTCCCTTTGGAAAGCAGATCAGTATTAATCTGGAAGGCAGAGAGTAAGGCCATTTTTGGGATTGTTCCTCAAAGTGGACAATACATGTACAGAACATAACTATATATATAGTTATGTATATATATATATAGTTATATATATATATATATAAAGGTCTCTTTCTCCTTGTGTTCTGTATGTAGCCTTGGCTACATGAAGAACTTACTTAGACCCTGGTATAAGACCAAGTTCACTTCTGCCGAGAAGTCAAAGTACCAGAAATAATTAGAGTTCCATATTTCACATTGGCCTTTCTTCTGGAAGGACCACATCCTCTTTCTTGGCCCTTTTAACAAGGAAAATGATGAGCCAACTTCAGCTTGAATGGTGATCCTGGTCCTCTCCCACCGTACATGTTGACTATGCTGGAGACATAACCGCTCAGGGACCATGGAGCACTGAGAGGGGCACAGAATCAAGTGTGCCAAAGCACCTTGTTGGTTTTCTCCCCTCAAAGTTAGGATTGGCTTGGCATGTAATACATGATGGATATTGCAAAGACTTGGTTAGGGCTTAATTACCCATTCTGCTTGAGGATTTTCATGGTATACATCCAATATATACGCATCTGGATCCAGGCAATGTTGTCCTAGAAGGAAATGAAAATCACAGAACATCCCTGAGAGCGTACACTTCAGTGTGTGCACCTCATGCCTGGGTGTCGGCACAGCTCAAACAAGGCCAGTGACATTCTCTCAGCCACAAGTGTACACTTTCAGAAGCTTCTTGATAAAGTTCCCTCTCTCTAGTCTCCTGTCTTCCTTCTATCCTTTCCCCTTCCACTTGCTTCTCTATTCCTTCATCCTTTCCTTCATTATCTCCTTTCCTTTTTCCTCTCCTCTTCTTGCTTCTCCCTTTTCCTTTCCCTTACCCCTTTGCTTCACTCTCCTCTTTGTCGCTTCTGTTAAAATATTTCAAGCAAATATGTAAGCCTGTGAACAAACCAGACATACTAGACACAGTCAAATTTTTTTCCCCAGGCTCACCACATCAAGTCAAAAATATGATAGCTTGTTTGGGTATAAAATGATCACGCAGATGTTAATACCTGCCCTCTAATGATTTACAAATGATAATTTGACCAGGTCTAGAGAAAATTCCCATCACTTTGTTTCTTTACTGCAGAAGTAATACCCACAGCTCAAACATCTGGAAAAGGATACTTGGCACTTTTTAAAATGTAGGATGCTTTTGCAAAATCAGATACGGGCTTGCCTGTTTGCTTCACTCATGTGCCAAATGTCTTCTGAGTGTTGCTGTGTGCCAGGCAATGGTCTAGGGAGATGGGGCTATATCAAGGTACATGACATTTGTCTTCAGGACCCTTCCAATACATATGAACAAGTGTAAGATAAAGTAAACTTGATGGCAACATTACCAGAGAAAAATCAAATGGGGAATATGTGGTCAGGGAGATCTCACTGACAGGGCGCTGTGTTAGCAAAGCCCCGGAGAGCTGGGAGAGTCAGAAATAGGGATGTCTGAGAGGGAAACCAGCAAGCAAATTGAACACCCCCAGGCAAAAGACATCTGATGGCTGATGAGCAGGTCTGGTGTCTGAAGGAAAGTGTGAGATGCAAATGTGATAGGCAGCAGGTGGAGTGAGCTCACCAAGGAGGCTGAGGATGGAGAAAATGGATTGTGCCTTGCAATTCCCCAAAGCAGAGTGCTTGTGAGGTCAAGGAATAGCAGGCAAATGAATGGATGACGTTGTCAGTGAGGCAGGAGGAAAGTTAGAAGCTCAGGTCCTCCTTGATGTCAGGTGATGAGAATGTTTATCTGATTTGAAAGGCAGAGTGAGAAGGGAGAGAGAGACACACACAAACTCCACCTGCTGGTTCATTTCCCACATGGCTGTAGCCATTGTAATGGCTAGGGGCCAGGCCAGGCCAAAGCCAGGAGAGCCTGGGACTTCCATCCCAGTGTCCCAGGTAGATACCAGGGGCCCAAACTGCTGGGGTCACCTTCTGCTGCTTTCCTGGGTGCATCAGCAGGAAGCTGGACTGGAAGTGCAGCAGTCTAGACTCAAACTGGTGCGTTGATACTGGATGCCAGCTTCCCAAGAAGCAGCTTAACCCACCATGCTACAAAGCTCTTCCCAAGCAGAGCTTCTTAAGAAAGGAAAAAGATCACTTCGGGCAGTCTCAAACACAGAATGAATGACCAGCTTGCACAACACAAGAGTTTTCTGGTGACCTCGACCAGACTGATTTTGGTTAGGTGTGAGGGGCAAGGCTTGACTGGAGTGGTTTCAAGAGAGAGAGAGCAGCAAAAGAAATGGGAGTATGGCCACCCGGTGAAAGGAGCTGCATGTGAAGTGGCTAGAGAAATGGGAGTCAGCCTGATAGGTTGCCGAGAGATTGTGAGCATGGCAGAAACTGTCAACAGGTTTTCTGCAGAGGGAAGGGATGTGGTTGGCAGGGATAGGCTGATGACGCAGGAAACAATCCAGGCTCGCGTGGAGAAGGGCCTGATGGGATGCACATGCCACTGGAGGTGCCAGTCAAGGCCACAGAGGGGAGAGGAGGACACGGCATCCTCGGAAGCAGGGAGGAGTAATTTTCTTTTGACTCCTGTTCCCCCACCCTCACTGCTCACCCACCACCAGGGAAAGAGGAAGAATGAACTTTGGCGAAGAGTAAAGACAGGAAGAATCCAACAGCAAGGGTATCTCGGGTGTGAAAGTTCCCAGTTTTCTTATCTTGAGCAAATCTCCAAAAAGAAGCTTTCCCAGTGTCACACTAAAAAACTCAAAAGTTTACTTCAAACCAGCAGTGTAAAATGCTTTTTGAATTCTGAGACAGTTTTAAAAAATCAGGAACTTACTGGTTTTGAACATTTATCTCAAAAACATAAAATGCATCTTAATCACAACAGGAAGATGTTTCCACTAGGGTGATCATGAAATTTAAGTGTCACAATTATTAAAGAAATGCTTACCTATATTTCCTCCAATCTCATATAATCTTTGGTTCTCAATCTTGATAGATTCTGATGGACTATGACTAAAAAAAAAAGAGAATGCATTATAACTCAACACTCCATTAAGACAGGACAGTACATTTGCATATTAAGTAACACAGCCATGGACATTTCCCGATCCTTGATGTGCTACACCTCCCACATTAAGAGTAAGTAATTCTGACAACAATTTCATGTGTGATTGGCACAAATGAGCAGCCGAGATCCAGAAGAGACGGACTCTCCGTGATCTCTGACAGCTGGTTCCAGCAACGCTGCCGCTCCATTCCCAGCAGGCGATGGCTCCTGCCATCAGGGCTGGCCACACAGCAGCTGGGCATTGAGCACTGCCTTGTCAGGGCTCACACCACCCTCTGGCCAAAAGGAATCGGGTTTAATTCCAGTAATATCCAAAAAAGGAACGCAACCATCTCAGCCCAAGTTGCCTGGTGCTCTGCACTTTTAAGGTTTTTAGGTCTCTCTTTATGAGAGGAAATAATTGCCTAACCTCATTTTCCCACCGCCATGCTGAGACAGTGGAATCTGAAAGGCCACTGTTGATCTGCATTTGAATTCGAAGTGACTTTGAGCCTGGTTATTTTTCCACTCCTTAATCGCAAACAAAAAGGATGTATCTTTTGTCTGTTTCAAAGTTATATTTCAGGTAATATCCTTGTAGACTGTGTGTAGTTGTGACTTAGAAAACTACAGCTCCTGCGTACTCTTTACCCAACTTCTCCCAACAGTATCATTGTAAAATACAGGTTAACACAGGTGCAATATAATAAGCAGAATGTTACTACAAAACCATTCAAGACCCATGACACTTCCATTACCACAAGGATGCATCCTGTGGCCTGCTTTTTTTTTTTTTTTTTTTAGAATTTATTTTTATTGAAAAGTAAGACATACAGAGAGAAAGAGACACAGAAAGATCTTCTGTCTGCTGATCTATTTCCCAAGTGGCTGCAATGGCCGGAGCTGAACCGATCCAAAGCCAGAGGCCTGGAGCTTCTTCGGGGTCTCCCACATGGGTACAGCATCCCAAGGCTATCCTTAATTGCTTTCCCAGGCCACAAGCAGGAAGCTGGATGGGAACAGGGGTTGCCGGCATTAGAACCAGTGCCCATATGGGATTCCAGTGCATGCAAATCTAGGACTTTAGGCTACCGCAGCCAGGCCCCCTGCTGCCTTTTCTTAGCACATTCGCCTCCCTCTTCCAATCTGACCCCATATCCACACCCTGCACAAGCACTACCCTATTCCCTTTTTGTTTTTAAAATTTAATTAATTACACTGCATTATGTGACACAGTTTTATAGGCACTGGGATTCCCCCCTCCCCTCCCCTAGCCCTTCCCCCATGGTGGATTCCTCCACCTTGTTGCATAATCACAGTGCAAGTTCAGTTGAGATTCCTTCATAAGCACTACCCTATTCTATAAGTTTATAAGTCTGCATGTCTTTCATTTCAGAAATGTTATATAAGCAGGGATTTGGTCTGGCAGGTGAGAAGCTAGGTAAGCTGTGACAATTATGTGACAATAATATAATTAAAATGCCCAAACCATAGTCTTGAAATGATAACACACATGTCACTTTATACATAGTTCACAACTTTTTGTATCCCAAATTTTTGTACCTAGAATTTTGTATCTAAATTTTTTCTTAAAATACCCATTGGGTATATTTGTGTAGGTCAATTTCTAGGTTTTCTATTCTGTCCCATTGATGTGTATCTTCCACTACACTATCATGACTATCTAGTTACACTTAATATTTAATAATATGAGCATCTTACTTTATTCTTCCTTTTCAGTATTATTTTAACCATTCTAGTGCTTGAGTCTTTATATACAAAATTTTACAATAAGCTTATGCATATTTACACAATGTCTTGCTGGGATTTTATAAAAGCGGAATAAAATCTATGAGGCAGAATGGGCACCTTTTGAGAATATCCCCTAATTCATGAAAATGCGCACGCGCTCTCTCGGCATGTCACATTTTTAGGCCCTCTTCAATTTCCTTTGCCAACGCTTTGCCATTTGTAGTTACAGATCCTGTACATAACTATTTCAGTTTATGTGTGTTTCTTTTGGAGTAACTATGAATGGCGCTGTTTTTTTATGCTTGATTTGCAGCTCAGTTTTTCACATGCTCCAAGGTAATCCATTTTTTGCACGTTTGTTTTTGACTCTGTGGCCTTGCTGAACTTATCAGATCTTTTTTTAAGTGGAATTTTAATGTGGATGATAAGACCATTTGAAAATAAAGACCATTTTCTTGCTTCCCTTATAACTGTATGCCTTTTACTTCTTACCTCTGGCTTGGCACTGTGGTTTCATTTTCCAATACTATATGTTGAATGAAAACAATAAGCACAAACATCCTTTCTCTAGACGTTAGAGGCAAAGCTGTCTGTCCTTGGTCGAGTATGAGGTTAGCTGTAGGTTTCTGCAGCGATCTTTACAAAGTTTTGGAAATTGCATTTTCCTCCTTTGCTGAGCATTTTGTTCAAGAACTCCTGTCACATTCTGTCGAAGGCTTTTTCTGTTAACTGATGGGCTTACGTGATCTTTATCCTTCTGATACATTAAGGTGATTTAAATGCTGAAATAAATCCCACTGTGTCATGTTGGATAGCTTTTTAAGACATGCTGGAGTATGCATTAAATTCTATTTTGTGAGGATTTTTGCATCTAAATATGAGAGGTATTTTTGTCTTGTCTTTTTTTTTTAAAGATTTATTTTTATTATTTTTTTATTGGAAAGGCGGATATACAGAGAGGACAGAGAGGAAGATCTTCCATCCGATGATTCACTCCCCAAGTGAGCCACAACGGCCATGCCACGCCGATCCGAAGCCAGGAGCCTCTTCCAGGTCTCCCGTGCGGGTGCAGGGTCCCAAAGCTTTTCCGGGTCTCCCATGCGGGTGCAGGGTCCCAAAGCTTTGGGCCGTCCTAGACTGCTTTCCCAGGCCACAGGCAGGGAGCTGGAAGGGAAGCGGGGCCGCCGGGATAGAACCGGTGCCCATATGGGATCCTGGGCGTGCAAGGCGAGGACCTTAACCACTTGCGCCACCGCGCCGGGCCCTGTCTTTTCTTTATATTGCCTTTGGTTTTGGTAGCAGCAAAATAATAAGAACTTCATAAAATGAGGTGGAGAGTATCTTGTGTTTCTAGAAATAATCATGCTACAGGAGTGATTATTCTTTTTTTGCTAGATGTCCCCAGTAAAATATTTGGGCTTGGAGGTTTCCCTTTGAGAACTATTAAAATCACAGATTCAACATTTAATTGCTATATAGGACTATCCAGGGTTTGAGCTTCATGTTGGTTGTGTTTTGGCCATTTGTAGATTTTTGTTTCACCAATATTCTCTTTTTTTTTTTTTTTTTGATTGTTCTGCTTCCATTGGGTTTATTCTGCTGTTACTTTCCTACTTTCAAAAGGTGGGAATTTGGATGACTGATTCTGGATTTTTCTTAGTAATACAGCATTTGACTGCCATTTGCTCTCAAAATAAAAACTGTAAGAAGCGCTGGTATAGGTTTAGAATCTTTGGAGATCACCACGTTGTCTCTCTGTTATTGATATCTTGCTTGATTTCTATGTATTCTCCATGTAATTGTTTTGTGCCTTACAGAATGATTTATTTTTTAGACGAACTTTTTTTTAAAAAGATATATTTATTTTTGTCTGAAAAGAAGATTTAAAGAGAGAATGAGAGACACAGAGAAAGATCTTCCATTACTGATTCATTCCCCAAGTAGCTAAAACAGCTGGAGCTGAGCCGATCCGAAGCCAGGAGCTTATTCTGGGTCTTCCATGTGGGTGCAGGGTCTCAAGGCTTTGGGCCATCCTCTACTGCCTTCCCCACCACAAGCTGGGAGATGGAAGGATCCCATGTGGGGTGTTGGTTCACGCTGCTCTACTTTCCATCCAGCTTCCTGCCTGTGGCCTTGGAAAGCAGTACAGCATGGCCCAAAGCCTTGGGAATTTAAACCAATGTGGGAGACCTGGAAGAAGCTCCTGGTTCCTGGTTTCAGTCAGACTGGCTTGGCTCTGGCCGTTGAACTACTTTGAGAGTGACTCAGCAGACAGAACATCTTTCGGTCTCTTCTTCTCTCTGTATATTTGCTTTTCCAATGGAAAAAAAAATCTTTTAAAAACCCCACTATAACATAAAATTCACTGTCTTAATTTTTAAGTACAGTTTCATGGTATGAAATATATTCATAACTTTGTTCAACCATCACTTACCATACATCTCTGAAACTCTTTTTGTCTTGTAAAGCTGAAATTCTATGCCCATTTTACAACAACCCTGTTCCCTGGGTCACCCCGGCTTCTGGCAACCATCACACCACTTTCTGTCGCTATGATTCTATTTCTATAAGCGAAATCACGCAGTCTTTGTAAATGGTTTACTTCTCTTAGCACAATGCTTCCAAGGTTATTCAATACTACAGCCTGTCAGCATATCTCTCATTTGTAAAACTATTTCTCATATATTTTTATACATATTCACATATTTCACATTCTGCTTATCTTTTAATCTGTCATTTTGACTATCGTAAATAATGCTATGAAGATGTGAATATAAATATCGTGGGGGAACCCTGCTTTCAATTCTTTTTGTAACGCAGCCAGCAATGGAACTGATGGATCCCCCGGGGAAGCTTTTTTTGATGTGTTGTGGATTTGCCATCTTGCTTCTCACAGCAGCTGCACCACGTCGCATTCCTAACTGACAGAGCGCAGGGGTCCGGTTTCTTCACACACACCCCACTCCACCACTTGCTATTTTCTGCTTCTGAAAGCAGCACACACCCTAAAGAATGCAATCATTATATTTATTTTTAGTTCTTTGAATTAAAAGTCACGTAAAAGCAGAAGACCACTGATGCATCTATGAATTTCATTTTTAACATAGAGATAATCTGATAGGTTAGCAAAAGTAAACCTTATTTTACTCTGATATTATTTTACCATTAAAAAGCGATAGTTTGAGGAGACTGGCAAAACTTCTACAATAAACCC